GCGTGATACTAAAGTCTGGAATTCATACCATCCCAATACACACAGCTTATGCTCTTACAATGTTGTATGCAGTAAGCCCACAACATTGCAACTGTGCTCATTGCCCTTATCCGTAATTAAGAGTAATGCAAACACGGCATACATAACAGCAGGTATTTGCTCCCACGTAATATTTAAAGGGCACCACACTGGGATTAATTGTGGTGTGCTACCGGGGCATGTCGGTGTTTTGCCACCGGATGATCTGACAATCACGGCAATCGCACCCAACGATGTTGTTTTCCGCCCCTGCGATGTTAAAGGTGTGAGGCCATCAGGGGCCAACTGTTATTCACAGAAAGCGGGTGTGGCGGGCGGCGGGGGGCATGGAGATGAGAGGGGGAAGTGGAGGGGGGAGCAACTCGGCACACACAAAACACGAGATGGAGCCGTTTCTGTCTGACGTCACCTGCCACGGTCAAGGAAATGCAATTTAAAGGTCAATAAATGTTCAGATGTCCAAGCCAATGTCGCGCTCTTTTATTTATCGTTTCACGTTTTGTGACCAAAAGGGAAATCACGTTGATTGTATTTGGTCTCCGTGTGGTTTATTTTCTGTCACTCCTCCAGTCGAAGTCAGCCCTCGCTTGCTTAACCACAATGCTTATCCGCCCACCCCACCCCGTTCACGTCACAAAAAATACACGTGAATTTACAAATACTGTGTGACAATGCAACACATTGAAGACAGGGGATACATTATTCAATTGCTTAATTACACTTGACTTGCTTTAGTGCGGGCAGGAGCGCATGTGCGCAGTCACGCGCGCACATCCACACAATCACATTACGCAGGAATCCAGGTGGATGTTTTTTGAGGTTATGTAATTTATTTTGGCCACTCATCCAGGTATATAGTAATTCTGGCTGGTTTTACTGCTGAATTAGCTCGATTTCAAAATAGGGGACCATTAGAGTGCAGCAGATCCTATAATATGCCATTACGGAATGGTTTTCTCACAGCAATGACAGAGGCCGTAATAACAATTGGATTATGTGGCCAAAAATTGATTATTTTAATAATAGCCCGCATGTGACATGCACAATAGATACGGCACTAAATTACATTTTAAAAAATAGAATAAAAAATATGCCATGAAGCACACACGTTATTGAGGAAGTGGTTTTTATTCGGTAATTAAATCCTATTTTAATCATCATACAAAAACTAAAAGTAATTATTCCTGTCTTAAAGCTTTCGTGACTGCAAGAATTCATATTCTTTAGATCTTTCGGTGGAGTCACGTAGATAGGTTCAAAGAAAATAACAAAAAACTACGACGTTTCGATCACAACACAAGCGGTCGTCATCAGGAAAAGAGGGGAGGGGGGGTCGAAACGTCGTAGTTTGTTGTTTTATTTGAACCTATCTACGTGACTTTACCGAAAGACCCAAAGAATATAATTATTTCTATAGCATAACTTTTATGACAGTAGTCATTAAATGGGGGGGGGGGGGGGGGGCATTCTTAGCATTACATCGATATTTCTTAGTATCCCGTCATTGTTTTATTTATTTAATATTAACAATCCGGAGTAAACGTTGATGCTGATTACCACCACAAGCGCATTTCCACGTCCACGCTATTTCCTTGTTCGCATGATGCAAAGGGGGAAAGTCATACTTAATCAATGTTATCATCCAAAAGTAATTGCCGATCACGTCACACTCAGAGCATTTGCATGAACTTTGGATTTATATTTAAAAAGCCACTGTTAGCAGCTGAGATACATTAATGCGCAGTGAGGTGACATTCACTGTACGGCTCGACCTGCCAAAGTCACATTGGGAATATAAGTGAAACACATCAGTATTAAATTAATAAAAGCATGCGACTTTCACGAGTGCAAATTCAATGACAGATACATGATATGTAGTTTTTGTTCCCATATTCACACAAAGGATATGCATGCCCCTTTTAACCACCGAACAAAGACGATCATTGCATCGCGCGTGCTTTCAGATGCGCTTCTGCAGCCGTCTGGAACGCTCTTCCTTCCAAAATTAGGAGGCCACTGGAGCTATGCACTTTTAAATCGAGATTGAAAACTCATTTCTTTATTACTGCTTTTTGTGTTTAGATGTCCTTCTCCCGCACCTCCGATAAACACGGTTGGTTAGGTACGGTGCAAAAGAAGTGCAACATTCATACATTAAAGTTATAGGTTGACATTTGAGATTTCAAAGCGGTCATTCCAAGACCACTTTGTCATTTCTATAATTTCCTTTTAAATTATGTTTGTCTAACTACTGTTTGTCATACAGTGTAGAAGTGTCAGATTATAGTACGATTTTTTGTGTTGATATTATGGTCTGAGCAATGTTTTCGTATGGAGACCGATGTTGTTCAGAGAGAAACATGAGTCACGTTGGAATTTACCATAAGCACATTTTCATAACATACAGCAACCGCCTGATTGGAAATCGTTACACGTCTGAAGGCAATAATGCAAGGCAGAGCTGGATTCTGGGTAGAAAGTCAATGCGGTTTGTTTTTAAATCTGAAAATAAATGATGTATTGTTGAAGCAACGCTGCCATTCGTATCAATACTCTGTGTTCACCTTGCTTTGTTTATATTGGGCTACAACACTCAAGAAATGTGGTTATATTCTGGGTCTGCAACATGCACCATTGTTCATAACCAATTTTATATTTTTAAACAACCGCCATTCGCCACCAAGGGGTGGTGACGTCACTACGGCGCTTGTGCCAGGCGATGTGCACTTGGAGGCCACGTGAAGTGTCGAAGGCTCGCTGGCAGGTCACGGACAGACCCAGGTGCCATGGGTTGACTGACCGAGATGACTGGTAGATACATCACCTATGCCCCCTACTGTGCCAACTTGCTGTGTTTTAGCCGACGGGCGCTCAGCTCGTTGTTGTGAGCGTCGCATCGAAGTTGGAGGCAGTTCTGCTCAGTAGCGTCCTTCACGAGCCTCCTCTACAGAGGCCAATCTTTACACTGCTGGTACCAGTCATCAGCTAATCCAACAGCTCCACATCCTTCTGTACATCAGTCCATCTCTTCTCTAGCCCGTGCCGTGCCTGTTTTGCCCTCTCCATCAAAACAAAAGCTATTTGGGCATACGGTGGCTGGGCATGCGGGCTACATGATCCAGCCAACGCAGTTTTGCCTGCCAGAAGAGCTCAACGATGGGACTTTGTCCACATCTTTTAGGATTTGTGAGCTCCTCACACAATCCAGCCTGGTTAAACCCAGGATGGATTAAAGGCAGGCCAGCCTGATTGTTTCTAACCGGCACAGATGTATCATTAGGGGGCTCCACGTTTTGCAAGCTTAGAGGAGGGCATGATTGTGGCCGAGAAGACCCGAAGCTTCGTGTGTAGTGACAGACAAAGTAGCTTCCGCACAATACTGCATGTATTGCATGTGCAATACAAAGACAAATATCCCCCTCATAGCCCCAACATATTGTTGGGGCAAGTGCTGTTATCGAGCACCTATGAAGGCCGGCATAGCACACGAGCGGATGGGTGGCCAGCACACCTAATGGCGATGTTTACACATCATACCAGGTACTCATTTGCAGCTGAGTAGGCCTAATACATTTAGTATTGCATCAATGGAATGAAGCTACATGGTCTCGAAAACATGATAAGTGGCAACATCTCTTCAGCAAAATGAAACAGTGGCTAACTGAATTCGACATGGCATATATTTGTAACGTTGAATGAAATAGCTCAATTATGTGTTACTCTACCACTCTACAAATGTTTATTCAAAGCGACAATGTTTAACATAGGTGCTTGTACAATATTTGTAGACTGAACAACAAAGACCACCTTTGAATGCAATCTTAACTCTGGGCCATTCTTTGAAGTATAAATGTACTGTGCACAATGTATGCCTTCTGCTTATGGCAAGGCTGTTGAATTTAAATTAAGCAATTCCAACATTGAAGGCTTGATTGAACAGATTTCCACTCCAAAAAGGTAACCATAGACTGAACAAGCAACACCGTTTGTACTTGCACAGGTACCGATTAAGGCAAGACTCCTATCATACCTATAAAAGACAGTCTTTTACCTCCAACACAACCGAGCAAATGTGTACCTAACAGAGTGTCAAATCGGGAGTTTCAACCAATCACAAAGAAAATGATGAGCTAAAACTATACAACAGTGTGCATCATTAGTTAGCAAATCCCACAATTTATGTAAATTCTTTATAATCCCCATAACGATATGAAAATGTGTGGAGGCTGGAAACATATCTAATTAACTATAATGAGCATTAAATTTCGATTTAAAGCTTTCGTGACTGCAATGATTCATCTTCTTTGGTTCTTTCTGTCTGGTAGGACAGCGCTGGAGTGCTGTCCTACCAGACAGTCTCGTCCCTTCACCTGATGAAGGCCGCTTGTGTTGTGGCCGAAACGTCGTGAGAATATTATTGTGTATATTTTATTTTATCAATTTATTATTTTATTCTCATTCTACGTGACTTTACCGAAAGAACCAAAGAAGATATAATGAGCATTGTACAAGTAATGTGGTGGTCACATAATATGCATGTAAGGCATGATGGGAGTCGTTCCTGCCTGGTGATTGTCAGCACACGTTTACATGTCGTTATTTTGAGCATTAGTTTTCGTACAGTAACAGGCACGGCTTGCATATGGCTCAATTAAGAGCGGGCTATGCCAACATGAATTTACCCAAATATTGACAAAACCAAAAATGTAACCCAAAGGAGTTTGTGTTGATGATGTCAAGATGTTTTCTACTAAATCTAATTTACACAGATGCCTTGAGAAAGGGCATAGAGTTATGAAAGTGAGCAAAGTCACTACAATTTAACCAACATGGAGACTTACCACTGGCAGAGTATATGTGAATGGCATATGAGAATGACATGATAATTGCATATGAGCATGGTTTGTTTAGTTTGGGGAATGCCACTGGCACAGAGGTAAAAAAGAGCTACGATCATTTACTGGATTTTCAATTCATTTTATTTTTCAAATATATTGTCGCTTATTCCATGTAAATTGCAAAATCACGAGGTTGATTAAACAAACATTTATTTTAAAAATAACACCTCCTCTATACTCCAACAAATACGTGAATTTACGATGCAGGGAATATATTTTAAGCGGTAATAATCTACACATGACTGATTCCATCCAATCATATATAAGCAGGATGCTCCTGTAAAAACAATGAGTAATTCACAGCACATGCCACCAGTAGTAGATGATATTCGATTTTATAAAACCGAAAGCTACTCAACTTACACAAGCTAATGTTTATTCTTAATGAAAGCCCAGCAATTGTTGTGCATGACTCCTTATGAAGCTCGCCATAAATAAATGTATAATAAAATACGATGATACCTTCATGATTGTTGCATGATAATACCTTAGAAGCAGTAAATACGATCAATATTTACTCTTAAGTACAGTAATGTAATGCTGCATTTTCACCAGTAGTTGTTGGTGATGTACCAATTATTATCAATTGTAAAAACTTTATTATTTGAATAAAAAATATTTTTTTACGCAAACATCATCATATAAATACACATTTAAGCTAACGTTTTCTTCAAACTTTTATTGATTAAAAAAAATAGAAACTGCCAACAATTTTAACTTTTCCAGTGATACAAACAAAAAACGTGATTGCAAAAAAATATCAATGAGGCTATTTTTCTTCCTAAGACTTATATACAGTATGCACTTGTGCATTTATTTAAAACAGGTGCTGACATGCAGCAAATAAATCTTAGCTTGTAATAGGTTGATTCATACATGTATTATTTGGCAGTGTATTACTAACGAAATTTGGATTGTTATTTTTTTCTCTTAATTCATGCTTACTACAATACTGTATATCTTTGCATCGTTCATAAATAGGGTGATATTTTTTTTTCTAATTGACCAACGATGAGATATCCTTCGACTCCAGCTATACCGTGTCTGTCTGCAAAGTTCAGTTGTCCGTTAGGTGGTGAATTAAGGAAGTAAATGTCAGGGGATTATGGCTTTGGTTCCATAGAATTGATTGAAGCCCAGAGCCACAGTAATGTCACATTTTATAACGTGTTTAAAACAAATGCATAAACACATGGAAAAATGCATCAATGCGCATAAATATAAAATATATATAAATTTTCCTTATGTAAAACAAATAGTGGCAGATATAGAGTACTTCCGCAACTTCTAAATAAACTGGGACTTTGATAATTAATGTTTAATCAAATTAATGAAAAACATCCAATTCAAATATATCATTTTTTATTCCAATGAGCATCATCAAAACAAAGTGCGATTTCACAACACAAGTATAAACCATTCGACAATGATTTGTCTTTATAATAAAAAAAAATATTTGAATTCTGCTTACCATTTGTTTTAACTTGAACATTATAATAGTGATTATCCTGTTAAACAAAATAAACTCGTTCCTCGTACAGTCATGATTATTTTTCTACCTTGCAACAAACAAACTGGGTATTTAAAAAAAAAGTATTACCAAAAGTGTTAGTAGATAGGAAACATGCCAATGCAGAAATCATTTCCCATATAACTTCTTGTTGAGGAGGAAGATAAGGAGGTTGACATTTACTTTTGCCCGTTCGAACATCTTCATTACAGCCACTCCCTCGTACTGCAGCTGCAAAAGGTCCTGTCAAGGAATGAGAATGTGGCAACATGTGAATGAAACAATAAACGCATAATGATGATGACGATATATGGCTCATCTTCCCAATTATAAGCCCGTAAAATGTGGGACAAGTGCTAATACTTTAATTCTCATACTGTCATTACGTTCCCTCAAACTCGGTGCCAAGAATACATGCAATGGATATTTGAATGAGTGACTATAATTAAAGTCACACGCCCTCGCAGAGTTATTACAGTAATGTACTGCAAATAAACAAGTAACAATCATGTAACAGGTAATAATCATTTGCAAGTCAAGTAATTGTTCTTGCATAGTTATAATGCCAATCATTCACCTAGGATAGCTTCACTGAGTCTTAACTCACTTTTTAAGGAGGGTCCTGCATTGGGATGTTTGGCCAGTTACATTAGTGACTGTTCGACTTGCATGAGGAAACTGGAGTACCCAGAGCAAACCCACACACGTGAGTGGGGGGGGGGGGGATGACCCTCAACAGTGGTGCCTCCTGGCCACATGAACGCTCTGTGCCTATGAACCCTGCAAACCCTGACAAGCCCTGGTGGTCATCCATGCAAGTGCCAACCAGGCTCGAGCCTGCTTAACTTCAGAGATCTGATTAGATTGAAAGCAGTCCAAATTATGTGGTTGCCTCGCAGCTCTAGACCGGCTTGGTAAAATAATTACTCGGATCACTCCGTGGTAAATGAGGGTGGAATTTATCTGATTATCATCATCCACACGTTTACCCAAAATGTTTTTTCATACTTAACGGAGACTGCTGGTATAAATTGTGAACAATGTAAAGTGGCCATGTAAACGATGAGAACCAAGTGTAGGTGAACATTGTCAATAATGCAACGGGGCTGTTGTACCATACCTGAAAGTTAAGCTCCACTTTTTCCATTTCAACTCCCATGAACTTCGCTTTCACCTCGAAGATTCCAATTTTCTCTCCTTTCGTGATGTCAAACAAAACATTCTTGAACCTGTAGTGGGGAAAAGAAATCAAGTCACTTTAAACATATCCATCTTCATTGTCTTGATCAGTCATGATCAGTCTCCTGCTAGATGATGGTCTCCCAAAGCCGTCACATGATTAAAACATTCATATAGTTCCTGCACACAAGTTGATATCACTGCTCCTTTCCACAGTGGAGTATCTCTCGGATGTGTTTCCTCCTTTGATTGCCACTGTAAATAGTGGCAACCACCAGCTATCATTCCTTTTAGCGATATGCCCTGCCCTTACTCACTTGCCATACTGAAAAATAAATATGACCTCTCCAACTTGTGTATCTTCTCTAATCCATGTATTCCTCTTTCAGTCTACCTGTGTAATTCCAAGAATGTAAATGCATATGTATCATTATCCAGTCATAAATGTGCTTCACGATTAGCATATCCACATGTGAATTATAAAACAAATGATAAGCAAAAGACGTGAATCCTACTTGCATGCCTGGATCCCCTTCTTTGACCAGAAGCTTTTGAAAAGGCTGTAACTTTGAATGTGTGCGAGGGAATTTCTATAATTGGCTTCAGGGCAGTGCATACTGTCCCTATAATAGGTGGGGAAGGTCATGGAGGGTGGTGAGATGTTTCCGTAAACATTATCAGGCAATGAATACATGTTATCTTCTACTTTCTCCAAAAACACAAACATCTCTAACAGCTCAGTTGCATATTCTTAGCTCTTTCGGTAAAGTCACGTTGAAGGGAATTTTTATTGTTTTATATATATTTTATTGTTTCCCTTCAACGTGACTTTACCGAAAGAGCTAAGAATATGAATTACTGCAAACACGAAAGCTTTAAATCAAAGCTCAGTTGCAATTAAACTTTTTAATGAAACGCTACTAGCAGGAGTCATCCGCTTATGGCAGGTGCAAGCCTTATACAGATATGTTCTTTGATCTGCAGAATTGGGTTGAAAGTCCACGCATTCATTTATACTGCGGTTGATATTGCGCAGATTTATTGAGCACATATATTATGTATATACATAAGACCAGGCAGAATATAGTCCACATACAGACCTGTTGATATATCTATTTTTTTAATTATACCCTTCATTTCTCTCTTTAATGTTTTATAGCTGCCAATCACATCAGGGTTTGGTCATAATCAAGTATATTTCATGTGCCACTGTGCCTCTCAATGGCAGTGCACTAAATACAATTTAAAATGATTAATGTCAATGTATTTAATCATTAAATACTGTGTTTGCTCTGTGCATAACACAACACAACTGTAATGACGGTAGCAACATGCAAAATAAAGGTACCGATTTGGTTATTATCTTGCGATGTAAACAATACAGAATTTAAATTTTAAGGAGGTAATACTTTGTATGCATTGCATAGACAAATGCATGCACTCTTCACGTTTCATTTCTGTATGTGTGTTTTATTTATTTGTGGGGAGCTGCGGTACAGTCTTGAGTGCAATGCGCTATGAACCAGGCACCTTGAGTTCAATTCCCAGCCATGCCTAATATCGTCAAGTGGTGTCTGAATCGGTCCTGGGTTTTCACTCTAGGTTCGCTCATCTTAACACGAGTGCTTGGTGTGGCGTGTAAACATCAGCACTGAGTAAAGGCAGTTGGGCTTAGTGCTGACCACACCACCCACGCGTGCATGATCCCAGACACACCGCGTCCTTGTATGCCGTGCCGGCCTTAATGGGCGCTTGCTATCAGCACTTGCCCAACAATTATGTATGGCTATAGGGGAATATTTGTCTTTGATAGTCATAACAAGACAGAACAACTTTGGACACGGAAACCACGTAGCATATGCACTCAAATAAATGGTACTGTACTCGTAACATGTAAAAAGGTATGGAAGGTGATTATGAAATTGTTCCAAGATTTAAAAACACAATGGTTATACAACAGATAATGAACACAAAATGTCCGTTGACATTGGCTGGACAGCCCACTCCCGGAGACTAATAATATCCCCACTATGGTCATTCATTTATTTATTGTCCCTCAATTCTTCCCTGATTTTGCCATAGGCATTAATCCATGAGACAAAGAATCCATTCAGAACTCCCACAGCAATCCAACCTTTCATATTAGAGAATGACCCACAAAAGCAGATCTCACAGAACTACAATAAACACTGTCGTGCAGCATTTTCCCACCAAGCTTGCTTCAGAGAATAACGTCTGTACACGACAAACTGATCATTTCAGAGCTGGAATTTAGCCAAATGAAGCACTAAAATAAAATTTTACGTGGCGTTTTTTTTGTACATGCACCTCCGATTAGCGTGGTTGGCTACATGCGGTGCAAAAGAAGTTCAGCGTACACACATTGACATACATACCATCAACTCGCTGAAATTAAGAAACTAATAAAAAAACACGGGGCGAATGAAACCCAGATTCGAATGCAGGATCTCAGCGCTGCCAGTTCAGCTCTCTTGAGATCCCGAGCAACGCGGCCACCTCTGAAACACCACAAATGTTATCCAGCTGTCCCAGTCAGCGTGGCCATCGTGGCCGAGATGAATGCAGCACGTACTGGTTTAAGGTGACGTCTTCTATCTCCAGCAGCACTCCCTTCTCGTAGAGGCGGGCAGCTGTGTAGTGCAGAACCTGAGGCTTTCCTTTCCGTCCTGATTTTTCTTCGGCTTTCCCTTTCCGTCCGCTCCTCCATTGAAGCACGCGCACGCAGATCAGAGACAGTAATGCAGAAAAAGTGACGTTTTTTGTATGCATAACGTACCAGTTTTAATTGGATTATAAGGTTACACCTCCTATCCATTAATATTGTCAATGCTTTTTCATTTAACACTGCCATTGATGGGATTAGCCTGGAATGTACAACTCGTCTAAAAACACAGCAGACTGTTCTACTGGGGAATTTACTTTTTGTACATAAATCCAGAAAGATCCTCTTAATGGAGCTTGAATCCACAAAAGGATCAGGGATTATTCTCTAAAGGTCCATATACTGGAATCCAACCTGATTCACAAGAACAGAAGGGCATTGTGTAACCTCGATGCTGCTTCGATTCAAAATCTATGAACCATTCGCACAGACTCAGTAGAGATTTTTTTTTCCAGCAAACGATAAGGGTCTCTGGGGGCGGGAAAACACACGTGTTGAAGAAAAAAACACTCAAACACCACCTCCGCCCCTCTAGGCTTGTGTAGTTTTCCTAACACCACAATCACCTGAAGCCCAAATGATTCACCGGCGTGAAGAGTGACTCAGGAAGCATTCCCGCGCGAGTGACTCGCGGTGACCTACTTTCCCTTGTGGGCCAGATTGTCGAGGCAGGTCTGGATGTACTGGTTGTAGTAGTTGGTCTGCTCCTGGTAGAACGTCGTCTTGGAATTGAGGGCGACGAGCGTCTGCTGCAGCTTCACCAGCTCCGCCTTGCGCCTCTGCCGGTACCGCCGCTGGTTCCGGATGTCCTGAGCACACGGGAGTTCAATAGCTCGAGGCCTGAAGCTTCTCAAGTGCGATCTGTGACAATGGGACCTCTATAAATGTGGCCATTCTGAAAAAGGCAGCAGGCTCCAAAATGGCAGTCCTTGTGTAACCATCCCCCAGCAGTGGTCCAGATTTCCATGTTCAGCAATGTTCTCTCTTTACAATGAAATTCAGTCACGAACAGTATATTGCACACAGGGCGTAATTTCCCCATTAATATTTTCCAGGTTGCTGGCTGGTCGACTGGAGTAGGTTACTCGAGATGAGTAACAACAACCATATTAATAGGTATACTGGATGTGGTGTGCTAGGTGCAGACATATTTTCTGGGTCACTGGCCCAGACAGACCCAACTAAACTCAAGCCTTGATTGCACACATTTATTCATGAGAAGACAAGGAAATCCGGAGCAGTGCTCTCATGGGGGATCTGGAAGAATTTGTCTCCAGTGCAAAATATGTGGAAGTTGCCTGGTTTATTTTTTTAAGGTGTACAATTGTTTGTGCTATTTCTTGACCTAGAACATTTTAACCTTGTGACATGTATATTGTACCGCACTTTGTGCAAATCTCTGCTTTACAGTGCCCTGAAATGTACGCATTACTATACAGTAATGTGTTTCCATTCCATAAAAAAAAGATATTTTCATTCAGGTTATTACTTCTCCATTGAACACTTTACAATTGTTATGATTATGTGGATTCTGGCTCCTGTATCTTGTCATAGCGGACTCTCAGGAAAGAAAACAACAGGAAAGGCTAAGTTATAATTTATAGCAGCTGGTTTTGTATTTATAAATCACTTTTCTGTCAATGTGTTGTTATAAACACAATTATTCTTGGATTTCTACATGTGTGGCAAAGGTTAAATATGCCTATTTTATTTGACAGGAATTCTGTATATATACTTACCCGAAGTACAGTAACAAAGTATAAAACATTGAATGTTAAATAAATATCAAACTTAGCTACGACTAAACCTAAAGGCAGAACCATAACACCAAATGCTATGTTTTGAAAAAAAAAATCCATTTACACAAAAAAAGGCTTTTCTTGAAATGTGGAACTCATATGAACCGCTCGATTAATCATCCACCTGTACTTCTTGCTCTCATCGGCCAAAAACATCGTCTGTGAATGTGCCACAAGAGATTATTTTAGAAGCGTGGAGAGCGTTTAATCATATATTTTCATTAATTTAAATAAAATGGCTGCGAAGCAGCGCCTGCCGCTTGTTACGGGAGGGTGGGGCAGGTGCGTTTTGGATGTTGGAGCCTATCGGCCACCCTGGTTAATGCTGGCGGTGTAATATATACGAAAAAATCCATGCCTCGTCTGCTTCACAATAGACGTTAAAGATCTCATGACGTCATTTCAAAAACAGTAGGCCCATTTGTGGCAATATCGTGGTCCAAATTTGTAATAAGTTATTTTGCAAATAATCTAACTGGGTAAAGTCACGTTTCAACATCGACCCCCCCCCCCTCCTACTGAGAAACTGCTGCAGATGATAATAGTCTATCAAACGTGGAACCTTCATGATAGCAGCCTTGAGCTAAAAGAATGGCACAGCTATAAAATGTACAATGATGTAGTAAAAACATCGAAGTGAAAGCGTTTACCTGCTAGAATGAGCGTAAATGAGGTGGTGCTCATCTCTGCTTGGGCGGTGCTGTGCCATGAGCATAAATTCCACATTCCCACCGCATAGGCCAATTTTGGAGTCAAGCGTGGGCTCAATCTAACCGTACGAATTGGGCATTCGACGACGGGATTAGATCTGACCCATGCATCACCTTTGATATTTGAACAATAATTTTTAGAAAACATGACCATCTTCCTGACAGCGTGAGTGTGGCACTGCGTCCTGGATCTCCGTGACTATGCAATGGGTGGGCCATCCGCCACAGTACACAGGAGGTAAACACACTGCATTTGTCGGTCGCAGTTAAGTGGTGAGTTTCTAGGAAGTTCATCTTGTGACTGTGAGTGGGATGAGAGGTGAGTGGTTAGTGTTTGGTGAGTGCGAGTGGTGAGTGTGATTCTCGTTGCAGGATGGGCTGCTCTCTAGTGGGACTGGAGGTCACGTTGGGGCCACTCATTCTATGGGAGTTTGGTCAGTAGCATTTTTAATATGACTTGCAGACTAAATAAAATAGAACTCACAAAAACATTGGGATGTTTTAAAAGCCACATAAACAGGACGTAGCAGCAATAGCATTGTGACATTATGAATTGCTACTTTAATACACGATCTTTTTTATATTCCTGTATTTCATTACACATGAAGTTTAAAGTAACGTATAATCGTGCATTTTAATGTTGCATGTGACAACAGATGTATTCACCTGGCTACTTTATTTTGGAAAGAAGATGATGCCATGAATTTCATTACGTGTTACTTTCAATCGGAACAAGACACTGCAATACAAAGAGCACACAAAGATCCCCCATACAGCTTTTAACAGACTATTTGGGCAAGTTTTGTTTGCGAGCACCGATTAAGGTCAATGCGGGGTGGTGTGGCCAAAACCACATAGGGCAGCCTTTTTATCTTCAGTGCTGAAGTTTACACACTGCACCACTCATTTAAGGCTGAGTAGACCGAGAGGAGGTCCATGATTAGTTCAGATAAGGGCCCACTTATATTAGGTCCTGAGCAGGGAATCAAACGCGGGTCGTCGGGTCCATAGCACAGTGCACTAACTGCTGCAGTTCCACTCCCCATTATATATTGTTTACAGACACGTAGACCCCATTCAGTCTGCCTTTGTTTTGAAGAGAAAGCAGTGCGATTTGGCTGGAAGAGTGTCATTTTTTGCACCCTAACGCGTGTTGCATGCCTCCTCTAAAAGGTTTACCGGAGGCTGTCAGAAAGCTCTGCGGTAAGGTCACAGAGCAAGACATTCCAGGAACCATTAAAAAGCATATGACAGACATTATCCAAAGCAGCGGCGTGCATGGCTATTAATTTTGTTGATGTAAAACTAGATGCCTTGCTGCCTATAATATTTAAATGATCTTAACGTTTTGCTATTAGCACTCTGACTTGCCTTAACCTATCCGGATGAAAAACGGTTTGAAAATGCAGAGCTTAAAATAATACTTAAAATGTACACTGTATAGAATAAATATTTCGATGTCTCAAAAAAAAGTTTCCCCCCCCCCCCAAAAAAAAGTATTTAAAGGATTTTAAAAAATGTCAATGGCATCGCATGCTGCTAATCGAAACAAAAATGTACGTACACTACGCCAGGGTGATAATTAAGGCTTAAGGCAGCATTTTGAAAAAAAGGTTATGGACTTTAAAAAAAACGTTGTAGACAGTTGAAAAAGCATATTTAAGGAGGCCGAGGAAAAGGGAAACGAGACGCAGCCCTGTATATACTGCAGCTTTAAGGCATAACACACGGCTGCATGAAACAGATGTGATTGCCAAATTGCCTCCAGGCAAATCGAACAAAAGTGTCTGTCTGTACTTTGCCGAGCGGATTTTTTTTCTGTTACCACCATACAGCCTTTTCAGGGCATTTGTTATTAAAATATATAACGTTTCTTTATAATGTCAGTGTTTTTACAAATGATATACTGTAAATATAAAGTAATGTTTTTAAGACATTAAATCTCCTCGGTTTTTTTTATCCTTGAAGATTACACTACTTCCTGTAATTCTGACCGGGGTCGCTAATGACAGAATTGGATTACTCACACAAAGTTCTGGAGAAAGAGAGAGAGAGAGAACACATTTGGTACTCATTTATTTCCCAAATGAAGACTTGGGAAATCCAACTGGCCAAAACATAAGCCTTTCCCTTCATTCGTTGTCAAAGCGCATGCTTAACTTTGCAACGCATTACAGCATACTTTAATTGCGTAAGGATGGGCACATATTCACAGTTTGTATATGCGAGGTCTTGCTGACAGCTGTTTCCTATACCGTAGCGCTTTCTCAGATACCAGGCCGGATAAACACGAGTTACCTCCTTGCATCAGTGCCTGCCCCCTCGAGAGTCTCTTCCCTGACCACACACGCACACACTCACTGACAGATCCATCCAGTCACACACTAATCAACAAAGGACTAAAACAAAGTAAAACCGAAATAAGACTGCTGAGGCCAGTGCTGTTAGCGAGCAACATAATTATACTGGCACGGTGCAAGAATGGTGTGGCCAGCGTTGTGCCCGACCGTCTTTGTCTCCCCAACAGTGATGATGTTTACGCGTGATACCAAATACAAATTTAATGCTGAGTCTGCCTAGGGGAGGCCCAGAATAAACTCAGATGTCACACCCCACTGATCTTAGCCAAGGCCGGGAATCAAACTCAGGTATGCCGAAGTTTTGGTACTGTGTGCTAACCACTATACCAGCGGTCCACAGACGAGTGAACTACAGTGGCAAAGAACAAAGTCGAAGATTCCCCGTAGAGCCTTAACAAAACTTTGGGGCAAGTGCTGTTAGTGAGCAATTATTAAGGCCAGAACGGCACACGAGGGACTAGGTGGCCAGCACCACGCCCGACCACCTTTGTCTCCCTTACACACACGCAGGAACATCTAAATGTTGTACACATGTACAACACATGCAAAATATTGAGACAAAGAGACACTCACGCGCGACCTTGTACACAGGCGTGCGAACGACCACATGCACAAACACACACAGAACCAAGTGCACACGTCACTTACACAGAAACGGACCTACAGTTACACCCAACCATATCACACTCATACTCTTTGCTTCTATTCAGTAAAGTCACGTAGGTAAAAAAAAAATCACGACGTTTCGGCCACAACACAAGTGGCCTTCATCAGGTGAAGGGACCAGACTGTCTCGAGGACAGCGCTGGAGTGAACACAGCCAAGCTCAGACCGCGACCTTTAAGCTGTGTGAGAGGAATTAAGGTGCCTTGACAAAGGAATTAGCATAAAAATTAGCATTTAATTGGCGGACTTAGCATGATGAACGGTGTAGAGGGGG